AAAAAAAAAAAAAAAAATAGAAGGCTTAGAAGATAAGGACCTCTCAGAAAGAAGAAAAAGATTAAGATGAAAAATATCTACTCCCATAAGAAACTCGTAGGACCAATCCAGGAGGTTCAATACTCAAACAACAGGCCTTCTGAAGAGAAAACAGAGAAACTCAGAGGATTAACACAAAAACATGTCTCAAACTAAAAGTCCCCCTCTATGACTTCACCCAATGTCCACAGCAGGGCACATCTGTGAGATTCAAGCTGCTAGGGGAGAGGAGAGAACAGCATCAAATTAACAGAACAAGAAATAGAGGTACACATCAAGAATGGCCCAAGACTCAAAATTCTCAGAGGAATTATTCTCAAGACAAAATTCTTTTTTTTTTTTTTTTTTTGAGACAGAGTCTTACTTGGTCATCTTTGGTAGAGTGCTGTAACATCATAGCTCACAGTAACCTCCAACTCTTAGGTTCAAGTGATTCTCTTGCCCCAGCCTCCCAAGAAGCTGGGACTATCGGAGCCCACCACATTGCTCAGTTATTTTTTAGAGACAGGGTCTTGCTTTGGCTCAGGCTGGTCTTGAACCTGTGAGCTCAGGTAATCCACCCACCTCAGCCTTCCAAGTGCTGGGATTACAGGCCTGAGCCACCGTATCTGGCCCAAGATAAAATTTTATACCCAGCCAAACCATCAATTAAGTGTGAAGATAAAAAAGGAGCATTCTCTAAACTGCAAGGACCCAAACTGACCATCCACACACACTTTCTTAGAATACCAAAAACGTATTCCATCAAAAAAAGAAAAACTGGCCAGGTGCAGTGGCTCACACCTATAATCCTAGCACTCTGGGAGGCTGAGGCAGGTGGACTGCCTGAGCTCGAGTTTGAGAGCAATCTGAACCAGAGAGAGACCTCATCTCTAAAAAAAAAAAAAAAAATAGCTGGGCATTGTGGCAGGCACCTGTAGTCCTAGCTACTTGGGAGGCTGAAGCAAGAGAATCAGTTGAACCCAAGAGTTTAAAGTTGCTGTGAGCTGTGACACCCCAACACTACCAAGGGCAACAAAATGAGACTCTATCTCAAAAAATAAATAAATAAATATTAACAACAACAACAAAAAAAACCCCACAGCATGGGGTGCAAAGAAAACAGTGCAAGTAACTCAGGAAAGCTTCTTAAAAGTCTAAGATAACTGCAATGCAATGATTAAGATGGCTCAGCGCCTGTGGCTCAAGCAGCTAAGGCGCCACCCACATACACCTGAGCTGGCAGGTTCGAATCCAGCCCGGGCCCGTCAAACAACAATGATAGCTGCAACCAAAAAATAGCCGGGTGTTGTGGTGGGTGCCTGTGGTCCTAGCTACTTGGGAGGCAGAGACAGGAAACTCCCTTGAGCCCAGGAGCTGGAGGTTGCTGTGAGCTGTGATGCCAGAGCACTCTACCTAGGGGGACAGCTTGAGGCTCTGTCTCAAAACAAAACAAAACAAAACAAAACAAAACATAAAATTAAGAGCACCAGCAATGCAGATTGAGACAGAAAAAAGGAAGATTCTACAAGAGAGCTCTAAGGGAAGAAAAGATGAAAGAAAAGACTTCTACCCAGAAAGAAAATTTAGGTACCAAGAAGAAAGAGTTAAAAGATGAGTCCAAACAGCAGAAAAGAAAAGGAAGATGATACTCAAACACAGGTTTTCCAGGGCCTTTTTTTTTCTTTTTAGGGGAAAAAGTAACTACATAAATATATAAATAGCAGAAGCCATATATTAAAAATGAGTTTTTTGTTTGGGTTTTTTTTTTTTTTGAGACATAGTTTCACTCTGTGTCCTGGATAGAGAGCCATGGCATCATAGCTCACAGCAACCTCAAACTCTTGGGCTTGAACAATCCTCTTGCCTTAGCCTCCCCAGTAGCTGGAACTACAGGTACCTGCCACAATACCTGGCTAGTTTTTCTATGTTTAGGAGAGACGGGGTCTCACTCTTGCTCAGGTTGCTCTCAAACTCCTGAGGGGGATTCACCTGCCTTGGCGTCCCAGAGTGCTGGGATTACAGGCATGAGGCACCTTGCCCAGACTTAAGGATGAGTTTTGGGGACTTTTTTGCAGAGACAGAGTCTTACTTTATTGCCCTC